TTTGGTTTTTTCGTGATGCCAGTACGTGAAGCGATGAATTTAGGGAAACTCTGCAACTACAGTCTCCGGGTTTGCTCTCCCCTCAAGCCCCTCCCCCGTCAGAGTGTATCTGACATTCAGTTTCTTGCAGTTTGCTTTGAGGTGGGCCCACTATGTGAGCGAAGCCAACCAATGTGTAAGCCCACCGAGAGAAAACCCGATGCATGATGCAACTCGATCCAAGAACAGGGATCGCACATACTGAAGATACGGAAGTCCGTATCGAATCAGAGGACCCACCAGGACGCAAATCATCGCAAGCCTGTCCACATACAGAAGAAGTGCATTTCAACCACGTCGAGGAACGAAACGGTATGCCAACCTGCCTGGATTATACATAATGGGGGGAGCCATCTGCGATTTATTTCGCCCCTATAGAAGCCCAGTGTACATAATCTGAACGTGCAATGGGACACGGTCTGTTGGGTCCGTAATGTAGTCAACGTGTAAGTTGACGCAATGACGTATCCAGTATGTAGACTTAGCAGATGTAAGAACATGTAATTAAATCCAGGTGCCATGCACGTCAGTCAACACTCTGACAGCACATATGATATACTCTCGGTTTGTTCCCTCGACAGAAGTTCATAAAATGTTTCAAATTTGTGGTCGCGGTGTCGTGGAAACTAGGTGTTTTCATATTGCGGCAATGTCGAGTGAGCGGCATGCCGCCGCGCTGCGTCTTTTTTCACAGTGCGTGCTGCGATACGTTCTGGCATCACATAGGGCCACTGTGTAGACTTGCTAACACTGCATCCCCCGAAACTCAAGAATGCACGGTCCGTTTGTTTGTTTGTTTGTTTGTGTTTGTGTGTGTGTATGTGTGTGTGTGTGTGTGTGTGTGTGTGCGAGTGTGGTCAAAAGGGTTGGGGACATACGGGCCAAGAAAATCAAACGGATACATGATTTTGCAGCGAGTGAGTGCCAGGAACGAACACTTGTGCACACACACAGGAAACAATATACCGTTATCTGTTGCCACTGCCTAAGTCGAAATAACTTTAGCGCTGGATCAGAGACAATCATGAGCCTTTTGTGGTTTGGCAACGTGCGGCTCGGACTAGAAATTGGTTTCTGCCGTTTTCGCGAGTATCATTCTTGCACTTGTGCACGCCATCCTGCGATGAAGATTCCGAGCTGGCCGCAGAGGGTTCCGAGGATTGGGCCGGGAGCATTCAGGGCAGGAGTGGTCAAGAAGGATCCTCAGACTTGTCCTGGATGTGCCCCAGGCACTCTGCGCAATTAGCATGCCTCCCCTCCTCTGCAAAAGGGGGCAGCCTCGTAGTGTAGGATTTGCCTGTGCCCCTTGCTGTGCGCAGCGTGGGCTTCGTCCTGTATGGCGGCATGGACGGGCGGCGCAACGACCTGGGCAACCCGGCCCCGAACAGCGACCTGTTCGTCCTCAAGCTGGGGCCGAAGGACAGCCCTCTGCAAGCCACCTGGGGCCGATGGGAAGAGCGCGTCCGCTTGTTGCGCCGACGCCCACGGAGGACAGTTGCTGGAGGTGTTCACCACCATCGTTTTTGTCGTCACCGTCGTTTTCGCGTCCTCGTCGTCCTCAACGTCGCGGTCGTCTTCGTCGCCATCTCCGTCGTCTTCGTCTTCGTCGCCGTCGTTCTCGTCGTCGCGGTCGCCGCCGTCGTCGCTACCGTTGCCGCAGTCGCCGACGCCGTTGTCCTGGAGTGCGACTTTTCGTGGTACAAGCGTGCGGATGTGTTGGTGAGCTCTGACCGATGTGAGTGTTGGGCCCAAACGCATTCCTTATCCCAGCGAGTCGGCTAGGATGGCCCACGGCTGCCCCACTGCCACCCGTCTGGCTTCCATGAGGATCCGTTGTCCCTTCGCTGTGAGGCTTGACCCGGCCCGACGATCACGCCGCAGAAAACATGTGATTCTGAGTGGTGCGGGGGCGGGGCGCGCGCCTGATAGAGCTCCACACTTGGAGCGGAGACACAGCCGCGCTCGCAGCTGGGAGGAGGCTTGGACTTCCCCCCTTCCAACATGGTTGCCTCTCTGCGTCGTCCTCTTGGCGGTGTCTGGTTCTGCCCTCCATTGTGGCAGAAGGAGGGATGCGATAGAGGATCAGTACCACCTCAGTTTGGTACCAACGCGGATCGGAGTACCTTTGCCTGGCCACAGATTCTCCCCAAGCGCCCGAATCACATTGGGACAACCCCCTCTTCTGTGGCTTCTGCATGGCTTTCCTGGTCCTGGCTGTCCTCCCCTGCTCTGTGAGGCCGCTTCGCGGGGGGAGGAGGTCAAGGAGGCGGAGGCGGAGGCAGGGGCGAACACGGAGGGGACGCCAGCAGAGGAGGAACGGGACTCGGCGGTGGCAGAGCCGGAGGTGGAGACACGAGGAGTACGAGCAGGAGGAGGGGGAGAAGGAGGGGGGGGGGCGCAGGTCGAGGGGGAGGAGGTGGAGGAGGAGGAGGGGAGGAGCCCGTCTTCCCCGCTGCGGGGTTCCAGGCATCGTGCGTGCGCTGGGGGGGGCCGGGCGGTGGCGGTATACCGTTCGAGTTGGGGTGGGATGGGGAGGGGAAGGATGAGGAGGATGAGGCGGAGGAGGGGGAGAAGAAGGAGGAGGAAGAGGATGATGAGGAGGAGACCAATGAGGAGGAGGAGGAGGAGGAGGAGGCGGAGGCGGAGGCGGAGGCAAAGGCGGAGGCGGCGGCGGAGGAGGAGGAGGAACACCAGTGTAAACCCAGTAATCATCAACGATGCTGGAATCAGCTCTCCCTCCAACTTCCCCCTCATAGGCCCCCTCCACAAGGCTGAATTTCCACTGAGAGAAGTGCCGCGTTGGGAGACAATCGTTCGAAGATCCTGAAGCGTGCCAAAACACCAGTCTCGAGACTGGAGCGCCACGAATATACATGAATGTTGGGTTTTGACGGTGCTGCCAGAACGCAGTTCCTGGGACTTCAACAAAGCGAGTCGACGTAACTGTTGCGCCCGGACAATCCTGGGTCATTCCAAAACACAGTTTCTGATACGTTGACCATGGAAATCAGTAAAGCTTGTGATTTGTTAAAGCAAATGTGCGCGGCGCTAAGGAGAGAGCCACATTTTGAAAAGGAGCCGCCCTCATTTCATAAAGCTCTTGCGAACTGTTAAGGCGAATGTGCGCGGCGCACAGGCAAGAGCCACATTGAAAACGGCCCGCCCTCTTACAGTTTTTGAAGACGAATGTGCGCGGCGCCGAGGCGAGAGCCACATATTGAATACCGCCCGCCCTCAAGTCGTGAAGCTCTTGCAGGTTTGTAAGACGAGTGCCCGCGGCGCTAAGGCGAGAACCACATTTTGAAAACCGTCCGCTGCCGATCCGTGAAAGTCGTTCATTTTTTAAGACGAGTGTGCGCGGCGCTGCGGCGAGAGCCACATTTTGAACACCGGACGCTGTCGATCCGTGAAACTCTGGCACATTTATGAAGCGAATGTGCGCGGCACTCGGGCGAGGGCCACATTTGGAAAACCTCCCGCACTCAACCTGTGAAGATATTGTATTTTTCGGGGGCAGGGTCCTAAACGGTGGGGAAGTCTCAGGCGAAACGCCCGGCCCGCCCTTTCGACCGTCCTCGGGAAGCGACAGGGTGGAGTTGTTCATAAGGAGGAGGAGGAGGAGGAAGCGCAGGAGGAAGAGGATGATGAGGAGGAGGAGGAGGAGGTGGAGGTGACGGAGGATGAGGCGGTGGAGGAGGATGAGGAGGACACGCAGGAGGTTGGTGATGAGGGAGTGGAGGATGAGGTGGAGGGGGAGGAGGACGAGATGAAGGAGGAGGCAGTAGGTCAAGGACAAGGACGAGGAGGACTGTGCGTTGAAGCAGCAGTTTGAATGTCTCGTTGGACCTCAGGTGCCCTGAGGAGGGATGAATGAGGGACAGTTCCAGGACGTCTAATGGGCTTTTGAGGTTCATTTGGGGTCCCAGGTGGTCCAAGTCTGTGTGGTTCGATGGGATCCCAAAGGGAAGAGGGAGCAGGGAACTAGGGTGATGGATGATGGATGCGGGAGTGGTTATGTGGGGAGAAGAGGGAGGAGAGGGCTGGGAATGTGGGAGTAAGAGACAGGAAGGGGGCGGTTGCGGGGGAGAGGGTGGTAACGGGCCCATGCGCAGTTACCAGTCACCTGCAGGCATCGACAGCTCCGATCGATCCCTTGTCCAGCTGTCCTTTGCTTGTCGGCGACGCCGTATCCGCACTCTCCCCTCGCACCGCTCTCTGTCTCCGCGTGCTGCACCAAGTGGCAGCGCACTAGTTCCGCTGCTGCCTCGCCTCAATGGCCTTCCCCCTTTCGATGCATCCATATATTCATTGCTTCGTTGATTCACCCATCCACCTACCCGCTCATGCTACCCATCTTTATGTAACCATCCATTACTGCGTCTTTCTTTTTCTCCGACCATCCATCTATGCATCGATTCGTTGCGGCCTGCCCATTTCTGGGAGGGCTCTCTGCCAGGGAATCCCGGGCGACCACTGGCGGGTTCTACCATCTTGCAGCCGACCCTGTGGCTTTCTGGTGGAGGACCTACGTCAGCTGGCGAGACAAGCTGTATTCGAGGTCGACCTGGCGCTATCATGACCTGTCCCACCACCTTCGAGCGTGGGTGCTGGTAGGGCGAACTTGGGATGAGTGGCAGCAGTCTCAGCAGTGCGCCGCAGCTGGGTGTTTCTGAGCTGACTCAGCACATCCGCCCTCCGCCCGCGTGGATTTCGGAATTCATTTGCTCTCAGCCAACGCCACAAACACGCGGATCGCCCCTTCGGTCCCGTCCGAAAAGCTCAGGGCATTGCAGCGGCAGCCCTGGTTAACGTCACGGTGGCAGCAGAACAACCCACCCGCGTCCTCACGGACAACCCGGTGGGCATCACCAGGATTCAGAATACACCAATCAGACATCTGAAGAAGACGTGTCAACTTTCGTGGGCTCCAGATCTCTTTCAAGACAATCATAAATCTGGACTGGACTCTGGGCGTGTTCTTGCTGTTTCCTTTCATCGTAGAACGTTCGTACATGTGGACCTGGACTACGGTTTAAGAAAACGCTTGGAGTGAAGTCCATTTTCTCAGCGTAGAATTTTCGTAACCCTGAGCTGGGATGTACATGTTGTGGTGTCGGCGTCCTCCCGCCCAGAGGGGAGCCTTCTCGCGCAGAGGAGCCCGCGCATACAGTCGCTGCTCAGCCCGCTTCCGTTTACAAGCAGGACGCAGTCGTTGAGGAGACGGCAGCATCCAGAGGGGCGGATTCCCCGCGGTGGCTGGGCATCCCAACCGGACTGCCGGCGAGTGGGACACGGACGCGATCAATCTGTGCGGTCTGAACTCCACACTGAAGCAGGATGCCACGCTCCGCCTGCTGCGTTCTGTCCTCATCCAGGCGACGATCGCGCGCGTCTTTGACCTGCGGTCTTCAACGCCCAGTCGCTTCGTGTGTGGCCCATGCTGTCTCAGTTATCTAAGCCCATCGAGCCCTTCACACGCTGCTCGTTCGTTCGTTCGGTCGCTCGACTTGCCCGGCGCAGGCTCGCCCCCCGAAGCCGCTGCGGAGCAGCGGCGCCCTGCCGGGGCACCGCCGTGCCGCCCGCCAGTCAGAGTTGTGCTGTCTCTGGCGCGCGCGTGCACTCGTTTCCCCTTTCCTGCTCTGTTCCTTCTCCTCCTCGTTCACCTGCTTCCGACGCCTTCCTGTAGCCTTGTGCGCTGGCTCATTTGGCGCGGCACCTCTGCCTGGGCTTGAGAGTTCTTGTTCACGTCGTTCTGCTTTCGACTCCGATGGGGCACTTGTGCGGGCACCGCTTGCGGCACTCGCCGTGGAGGACGGCCTACGCACGTGCGAGTATTGCATTTCAGCAGCCTGCTACCGTCTTCCCGGTATCGCTTCTTCTGTCTGTCTGTCTGTCTGTCTGTCTGTCTGTCTGTCTGTCTGTCTGTCTGTCTGTCTGTCTGTCTGTCTGTCTGTCTGTTTGTCTGTCTGTTTGTCTGTCTGTCTGTCTGTCTGTCTGTCTGTCTGTCTGTCTCTCTGTCTCTCTCTGTTCCCTTTCCCACTCTCTCCCGCTCCTGGCTGCTGTGGTGTGGTTTCCATACATGGCCGATGGGGCATGCTTCCCGCCCGCAACTCCTTGGTCTCATTTCCCGTCCTGCGGCCTCCTCCCCTCTGCCCCTTCCTCTTGTCTCACGCATCCACGGCGGCACGCTTCGAGAGGCAGCCACGGGCCTCAGGCTTGGCTCGGGCGGTCGTGGTGTTGGTGGTGGGGGTAATTTCTTATTGGCAGTTCGAGTTTTTTCACCGTACCGCTGGCTAAGGCGCGATTGCAGATTGTTGGGTAGGTGATTCATTTGAGCAAGTTGTCGCGGCGTTCAATCTTTCAACTTTCTCGTTCTTCAGCCATCCGCCCTCGCCTTCTTTCATTTCTACGTTCGCTCCTCCAGATTCCTTCGATCTCCACGGTATCCTTTTCCTGCTGCTTCATGCAGAGCTGCACTGGCTCGCAGGGCACGTTCGAGTGGAACGGGGTCGAGATAGACGCTGGCTCGCAGACCCCTCCCGTGCGGACCCTGCACACGGCCGTGGCGGTGAGCTCCGACGAGCTCTTCGTCTTCGGCGGCATCCACTCCACGACGCCGTACCAGGCCCTGAACGACGGCTGGACCTTGGACACCACCGGCTTCGAGTGGAGGCCGGCCCCCTCGCCGCTCCGACCTCCTCTCACGAGGAAAGAAAACACACAGACACAACGAATCGTCGATTCCCCAGAAAATACGGGAAAATCTGGGAAGTGGGGGGGGAGACAGAAACCCAGAAGAGATGGGAAAATATGGGGAATCTGGTTATTCGTGTCTGTTTAGTCGTGTGTCCCAGGGCCCCTTCCTTCTCGTGCGGGCCCTGCGCGCGCCGCCGCTCTCCCCGAGGGGGGGGTGGGCGGGCGAGGAGGCGGAGGGCGGAAGAGGGTGCGGTGGGCGGCAGACATCGGGGGGCCGCGGCTCGTGGCCCCCAGGCACTCGCGCGGACGAGGAGGAGGAGGAGGAGGAGGAGGAGGGAGGAGGAGGAGGAGGAGGAGGAGGAGGAGGAGGAGGGGAGGTAGGAGGAGGAGGAGGAGGAGGAGGAGGAGGAGGAGGATGGGGAGGAGGAGGGAGGGGGAGGGGAGGAGGAGGAGGAGGAGGAGGAGTGAGGAGAGGAGGAGGAGGAGGAGGAGGAGGAGGACCAGTGTACAGGAGGAGGCGTGCACAGGAGGAGGAGGATGAGGAGGAGGAGGACCAGTGTAAACCCAAGAGACATCCACGGTGTTGGAACAGACCCTCCCTTCAAGCTCCCTTTTCAACAGGCCCGTGCAACGGTTCATTGCCGCTGAAGGGGCCGCCTCGTGGGAGGACAACCGCCTGAAGACCCTGAAGCATGCCACAGCATGATTCTCGGAACTCCAATGCCACGGATCAACCTGACCGCTGCGTCTTGACGATCTTGAATCGCGCCAGAACGCCATTCGTGGGACTTCAGCACCACGAATCTGCATAAGTGTTGCGCCCTGCCAATCCAGTTTTTTTTCCAGGACGCCATTTCGGGTACGTTGATCACGGGACTCCGTGAAGCTCTTGCAAATGTTTACAACGCATGTGCGCGGCGCTAAGGCGAAAACCACATTGAAAAAACGATCCGCCCTGAATCCGTGAAGCTCGTGCGAATTCTGAAAACGATTGTGCGCGGCGCTAAGGCGAGAGCCACATTTTGAACACCACCTGCCGTCAAGTCGTGAAATTGTTGCCACTTTTTAGAACGAATGTGCGCGGCGCTTTGGCGAGAGCCACAATTTGGGAACACGACCCGCCCTGAATCCGTGAAGCTCGCGCATTCTTTGATAACGAACGTGCGCGGCGCTACGGCGAGGGCCACATGTTGAACACCACTCGCCGTAAAATCGTGAAACGGTTGCCATGTGCCAGGCAGAATGTGCGCGGCGCTTTGGCGAGAGCCACACTTTGAAAAAACGACCCGCCCTGAATCCATGAAACTCTTGCAATGTTTAAGACGGATGAGCGCGTCGCTAGGGCGAGAGCCACGTGTTCAACACCACCCGCCGTCAATTCGTGAAACTGTTGCCATTCGTTAGAAAGAATGTGTGCGGCGTTTTGGCGAGAGCCACATTTTGAACACGACCCGCCCTGAGTCCGTGAAACTCTCGCATTCTTTGATAACGAATGTGCGCGGCGCTAAGGCGAGAACCACAATTTGAAAACGACCCGCCCCGTTTTTTAAGCTTCAGGGTCATAAGCTGTGAGGAGGTCTCAGACGGAACGCCCAGCCCGCACTAAAAACAATCCTTGGGGTGCGACATGGAGAAGTTAAGTATAAGGAAAATGAATGAAGAAGGCGGTGGATAATGAGGAGGCGGATGAGGTAGAGGAGGAGGAGGAGGAGGAGGAGGAGG